AAACACAAGCTGGTGGAGCCCTCCAAGAAGCTGCAGGAGAACATCTGCTCTCGTCATGATGAGGTGATGAAGATTTTCTGTCGCACTGATCAGCAGCGTATCTGTTATCTCTGCTCGATGGATGAACATAAAGGCCACGACACAGTGTCAGCTGCAGCAGAAAGGACTAAGAGGCAGAGAGAGCTGGAGGTGAGTCGACAAAACATCCAGCAGAGAATCCAGGACAGAGAGAAAGATGTGAAGCTGCTCCAACAGGAGGTGGAGGCTATCAGTCGCTCTGCAGATAAAGCAGTGGAGGACAGTGAGAAGATCTTCACTGAGCTGATCCATCTCATGGAGGAAAGACGCTCTGATGTGGAGCAGCAGGTCAGATCGCAGCAGGAAACTGAAGTGAGTCGAGTCAAAGAGCTTCAAGAGAAGCTGGAGCAGGAGATCACTGAGCTGAAGAGGAAAGACGCTGAGCTGGAGCAGCTCTCACACACAGAGGATTACACCCAGTTTCTACACAACTACCCCTCACTGTCAGCACTCAGTGAATCCACACAGTCATCCAGCATCAACATCCGTCCTCTGAGCTACTTTGAGGATGTGACAGCAGCTGTGTCAGAAGTCAGAGATAAGCTACAGGACGTTCTGAGGGAGACATGGACAAACATCTCACTGACAGTGACTGACGTGGATGTTTTACTGTCAGACCCAGAGCCCAAGACCAGAGCTGAGTTCTTAAAATATTCACGTGAAATCACACTGGATCCAAACACAGCACACGAAGTGGTGTTTTTATCTGAGGGAAACAGAAAGGTAACATTTTCCGAACAGTCTTATCCCAGTCACCCAGACAGATTCACTGAATGTTTTCAGGTCCTGAGTAGAGAGAGTCTGACTGGACGTTGTTACTGGGAGGTGGAATGGAATGGGGAAGACATTTATATAGCAGTGGCATACAAGAACATCAAAAGAGAGGGCAGCTGGGATGAATGTGGATTTGGGCAAAATGACAAATCTTGGGCATTATATTCTTACCGAAATTATGATTATAGTTTTTGGTACAACAGTGTCCAAACTCGTGTCTCAGGTCCTCAGTCTTCCAGAGTAGGAGTGTACCTGGATCACAGTGCAGGAATTCTGTCCTTCTACAGCGTCTCTGAAACCATGACTCTCCTCCACAGAGTCCAGACCACATTCACTCAGCCTCTCTATGCTGGACTCTGCATTGAATTCCATTATAGTTTTACTGCTGAGCTCTGTAAACTTAAATAGGCAGAGGTCATTTAAGGGACAGAGGGTTAAATTCTGTGTTTTAATTCTTTAAGGTCTTGATAACATTTCTTTTACATAGGTGAATAATTAGCGAAAAAAGAAAAAAAAATAATAGGACATCTCACAAAGCTTTTAAAAATGTGCGGAACTAAAGTATCACTTCTCCTGAAAAAAAGAGGGAAAAAAACAAAAATGTATGTTTTGTCTATCTCTGAATAAAACACTGACTTTTGGTTACTGCTTCTAACAGGCTTGTGAGCCAAGAGTATCTTGACGTTAGTACCACGTGGTATTTTCGTGTCCTTGGTGATCAAGAATCTTTGTAGTTGCTAGTTACTGCGAGTTGGTATAACTGCAGCTGGAGCAGCTACGTGACCCGCCTTCTTGCTACATGACCTGTCCACCGTACCTTCAAGTCAGTCCACAATTAGACCCCTTCGCTCCTTTGCCTCGAAGTGGAAGTCCCGACAAATTTGCTAAGTTGGTGATTAGCTAGCTATGAAGTGTTAAAATCAAAAGAGAGGTGGTTGTGCTTCAAGCGACAGCCATGTGGTGACTTGAATGTAAAGAGAGGGGGGAGGAGAAGTGCGACATCTAGTGGCTAATGTTATCAATAGTACCTTTAAATTTGTTTAGTCTCCATGTTTGTTGCTGAGAGCTGATTGTTGTGGCGTCTCTTCACTGCACAGAGATCAGCTGTCAGTCAAACATTATGGGCAGTACTTTGAAGTCTTCTCCTGAGTTGATGTGTAAATATTTCTTGCGGTGGCGCTCCTTCCTGTGTGTGTTTAGCCGTGGAGGCTGTCACTGCTCATCATGATGTGTTGTAAACTTCTTTGTGCTCTGAATGTTTAACGAACATTTCAGTGGATGTATTTGTACGTTGTTGTTTCTCTCCCACTGCATGAGTCTGAAGAGAGAAATCAGCAGACCTCCTTTATCTCAGATATTGTGCTTGTAAATTTGTACAGAAACGTATAATTAGCTTTTAATGTGTTGGTGTGGCAGATTAGTTAGCTACTAGAAACTGTAATGATCCTGATCATAATCAATAAGGAGATCATTCATTAATGTCTTTTACACAAACTGAAGGTTTACATAATGAATAAACACACATGAACAAAGTATTTTCTTCTTGTCTTCATTCCAAGGTATCAAACAAAGCTGATGGAGAAACTGTGACACTGATATGAGAGTATAACTGAGGCAGTTTTCCTCCTGAAACACCACAAAGTCCTGTGGTGGCAAAATTATTATTCAATAAACAATTCAAAGAAAAGTCTTTACACGTCGGCTGTCTTTCTTGAGTTTTAATAAGCATTCATGAATGGAGTCTCACAAACAGTACAAACCGCATGAACAGTCAGTCAGAGTGAGAACTGGCAAGTGTCCTCCAGCTCTCTATTTTTATAGTTACCCAAACACATGCTCATCAATAGTCACAACACATGGCGCCAGAGAACCTGTTGTCCTAAGCTGTATCCTGACACAATAACAGGGTCATAACTCTGAAGGCCTCTCTGAAGGTTCACCTTCGGCCTGTTTTGCGACCAGGCCTCTGCCATATATCTGATGTTATCAAGTGAGGGATTACAGAGCATGGAATGATTTGTAAGCTTCAATAAAGTAAGTCTTGCAGGACACCCTAAGGGGTGAAAAGAGGGTCAGATGCCCATAACTTGTCAGGCACCCATAATTTTCCATCACAGTCCAGTGTTCATGTTCAGAGCAGAGGAGCGTTTGTCAGTCAGTCTCTGTCCTTTAACTTTCCTCACTCAAACAGTTTTGTCACAGAGAAATGAGCAGAGTTTTCTATCATGTGTTGCTTTTTACAAGGAACATTTTCTTTGTGCACTGAGTCAAGAAAGAGGATTTATTACAGAGAGATATTTAGAGTTGATTTGGTTAAGTTCAGGTGTGAAGAGGGGTTTTTTTGTCCCAAAACACACAAGAGACAACAGATATGATGCAAAATACTTTTTTACAACCTGAGAGCTGATGTGAATAACATTTGCAAAGTGGAAACTCTCCTCTCCCATCTTTCCCACGTGACCTGAATGCATCATCAGTGTTACAGGGTGTGACTCCTGTGACCAAACTGACACAGTGTGATATTACATATATTTAAATCTGTCTTTACTGATGTTGTTTGAAGCTGCCAAAGGCTCAGTGAAGTTTGGACATGTCTTCCTGCAGTGAACATCACAGCAGGTTAACAAGTGAAATGTGGAAAGTGATGCACAACACAAGAGGGCGCCTTCATCCTGCTAACCAGGGATGTAGTGGAGGTTAAAGCACCTCAACTCAGTGTCCACAGTTTTAGTTCAGACCATGTTTTTAGGCTGATAAAAACCTTTATAGTAAAAGTGCATTGTGTCATACATCATGGTAAAAGCTGTCAAACTATTAGTTCATCAGTTAGAGAAACTTTACTGTCAATGATTTAATGCACCACCCTGCCAGCACGTTACATGACCCAAATCAAACACACCCAAGATGTTGCAGACAGACGGGTGCATGGTAGATCTGGCTAACGTACTAAATGCTCATGGTGGACTGAACCAAGATTCTTTGATGTCGGTTTGGTGTGTCTTGGCCTTGACTTAAAGTTGCAATTTGTAGCTTTTATTAAAAATTAAAAAAATCTGAATATATATGTTGAAACTGTCTCATATTCACGCAACACTAAATCAGATGGGTAATATGTGAAAATCTTTACTCAAAGTTATATTCAGGATTCAACTTGTTCCCTTTAAAATACTGAAATGACTTCAGCAAATAAGTAAAAACAGTTTGAGAATTTCATTAACAGCACTGATTCATTTGTCTATTTTTCCTCTCTGAATTACTTTAATCATTGAAAATTTTAATCAAATTGCATTTTTGGACAGAAAAGGTCATTTTAAAAAGTAAGGAGTCGTCTCCAAACCCTCTGATTCCAAGAAGAGTTTACTCTTCTAAAAGTTGCTGATGATCAGTGTTTTGAAATGCGGAATGAGCTTTATTGTAAACAAGTGTTAAACACACAAGGCCTCTCCCATTTTCCAATTTCGCGTCAGCTCAACTCCTTAATCTGCAATTCTTCAGCTTGTGACCGTGAAATTGATCTTAGTGCTCCATCTTGAAGAATGTCTCAATTCCTAAATGCACCATGAAGATCAAGGAGGCCTGCTGGAGGAGCAATGAGTGAGGATCCATTGGCAAATCCTTTGTGAGAGAAAGAGAGAATGAAAACTTGTACAGATAGATGGACATGAGTGTGGTTGTGTGTGTGTGTGTGTGTGTGTGTGTGTGTGGGGGGGGGGGGCAAACCTTGGGGAATGGGGAGCCCTTGCATGTTCTCCCCATGTCAGCATGTTTTCTCAGGGTACTCCGGCTTCCCCCCACAGTCCAAAGACATGCAGGTTATTTTGTGACTCTAAATGAGAAGTACTATATATAAAATGGAATATATAAGGCTATATACTAGGGATGAGCTTTTACTATTACTTGAATCTGTGTCTGTTCAACCAGCTACATTATCTATTATATTATTATTATATTATTATTATCTATTATACCGTATTCTGAGGGGCACTGGACAGATGACGCAGCCCTGCCCCACCTCATATTTAATTGACATCGCTCCAAAATGAAGGCTTCGATGCAAGGATGTCTTATTTTGTTAAATGCATGTTGCCTTGACTCCTCTCTCCTCGTGTCTCTTCCTTGAATCGTCCACTCACATCTCCAGTGGGCAGGACTAAGACACAAGGAGAGTAGCCGAGGAGGGGAATCAAACTGAGAGATCAGAAAGACTTCCCGTATCTCTGTCTCAAACCAGAATGACTCAGAGTTTTATGAGCCCTCCCTCCTCTTCCTGCTCTCACACACAGCGAGCTCCACTTTGTCCACACATTTCCTTGTTCCCTCCCCTTCAAATCTACAGTTTGAAGATGGGTGTAACCAACATGTGGTGACATGACAGAGCTGACAGGCTCCATTCACTGCAGGAACACATGATGTTCAGTTCAGAGCTCAAACTAGTTTCACTTTTAAGGAAGTGAGAGTCAGACAGGAGTTGTCACTGAGAGGTGAAATGGCGCAGAAAGGAGTTGAGCTGGACCGAGAAACCATCTCTTGTTCCATCTGTCTGGATCTACTGAAGGATCCGGTGACTATTCCCTGTGGACACAGCTACTGCATGAACTGTATTAAAACCCACTGGGATGAAGAGGATGGGAAGAAAATCTACAGCTGCCCTCAGTGTAGGCAGAGCTTCACACCGAGGCCTGTCCTGGTGAAAAACACCATGTTAGCAGTTTTAGTGGAGGAACTGAAGAAGACTGGACTCCAAGCTGCTCCTGCTGATCACTGCTATGCTGGAGTTGAAGATGTGGCCTGTGATGTCTGCACTGGGAGAAAACTGAAAGCCCTCAAGTCCTGTTTTGTGTGTCTGGTCTCTTTCTGTGAGAATCACCTCCAGCCTCATTATGAATCCTCTGCCTTTGAAAAACACAAGCTGGTGGAGCCCTCCAAGAAGCTGCAGGAGAACATCTGATCTCGTCATGATGAGGTGATGAAGCTGTTCTGTCGCACTGATCAGCAGTGTCTCTGTTATCTCTGCTCGATGGATGAACATAAAGGCCACGACACAGTGTCAGCTGCAGCAGAAAGGACTGAGAGGCAGAGAGAGCTGGAGGTGAGTCGACAAAACATCCAGCAGAGAATCCAGGACAGAGAGAAAGATGTGAAGCTGCTCCAACAGGAGGTGGAGGCTATCAGTCGCTCTGCAGATAAAGCAGTGGAGGACAGTGAGAAAATCTTCACTGAGCTGATCCATCTCATGGAGGAAAGACGCTCTGATGTGGAGCAGCAGGTCAGATCACAGCAGGAAACTGAAGTGAGTCGAGTCAAAGAGCTTCAGGAGAAGCTGGAGCAGGAGATCACTGAGCTGAAGAGGAAAGACGCTGAGCTGGAGGAGCTCTCACACACAGAGGATCACACCCAGTTTCTACACAACTACCCCTCACTGTCAGCACTCAGTGAATCCACACACTCATCCAGCTTTAATATCCGTCCTCTGCGTTACTTTGAGGATGTGACAGCAGCTGTGTCAGAAGTCAGAGATAAACTACAGGACGTTCTGAGGGAGACATGGACAAACTTCTCACGGACAGTGACTGACGTGGATGTTTTACTGACAGATTCAAAACCACAGCCCAAGACCAGAGCTGAGTTCTTAAAATATTCACGTGAAATCACACTGGATCCAAACACAGCACACAAACTGGTGGTTTTATCTGAGGGGAACAGAAAAGCAACATTCGTTACAAAATACCAGTCTTATCCCAGTCACCCAGACAGATTCACTGAATATCGTCAGGTCCTGAGTAGAGACAGTCTGACTGGACGTTGTTACTGGGAGGTGGAGTGGAGCGGGAGAGAAGCTTATGTAGCAGTCGCATACAAGTCTATCAGCAGAGAAGGGTGGTCGAAAGAATGCGAATTTGGACAAAATGACAAATCTTGGGCACTAAATTTTTACAAAAACCATTACCCCAGAGTAGGGGTGTACCTGGATCACAGAGCAGGTATTCTGTCCTTCTACAGAGTCTCTGAAACCATGACTCTCCTCCGCAGAGTCCAGACCACATTCACTCAGCCTCTCTATGCTGGACTTTGGCTTCTTCTCTCATCTGCTGAGTTCTGTAAACTCACATAGGCAGAAGTCATTTAATGGAGCAATGGTTTACACAAGGCCACATGCTCACGAAGGGGGGGGGGGGGTATTTCACTGGTCTACCACTGGGTCCATTCAATCTAAATGTACAGTCATCAATTATTAGAAACAGAAATAAGGAACTAATTAACAGGGCAACAACTCGTAGCTGAAACTGTCGGTGCAGGTCAAAATAACACTGTTACATCAGTGCATAGATAGGGTCTATACTGCCTTAGAAACGAGAGTTTGAATGTAGTATCTTTTTGGCTCACTCCAAAGTGTTTGATGCTGTCAACCATGATGTATTACTTGAGATGGTTCTATCCTCAAATTAATTTTTAATAATTTATTATAGACAGCAATATGTTAATGTTAATGTTTGTGGTATAGAGTCTGAGAGAGCTGTGATACAGTGTGGGGTAC